TGGCGCTTGGTCAATATTGCATATTGGGGGTTCGAAGATGGGTGGCCAAGCCCAGCCCCCGACGAGAGGACGGGCCGAGGTGTCCCTGGCCAAATTCTTGAGGATTTTACCCGTAGACAGGAATAACAGTGAGGTGGGGGGGGGGAGAAAGTAGGTGATAGTGAGGATGGTGTAGGTGATAGTGAGGATGATGTAAGTGGTAGTGAAGATGGTGCAAGTGATAGTGAGAGTTGATACAACAGTGGCCGGGAATACGGATGAGTAACTAGTGCTTGATTGATTGATGAACATTAAGCCACTCAAAGAGTGGCACGGGTATGAATAGCCCGTAATGCTAGTACTTACCTTCAGGTTATCTTAGAGATGATTTCGAGGCGTAGCGTCCCCATGGCCCGATCCTCAACCAGGACTGGTCAACAAGACTGTTGGACGCGGCTGCTCGCAGCCTGACGAATGAGTCACAACCTGGTTGATCAGGTATCCCTTGGAGGTGCTTGTCAAGTTCTCTCTTGAGAACTTGATCAGTATGGCCTGGCCATACTGATCATGTTCTGGCCGAATGAGCGCAAGATGATTTTAGTGTGTACCGGCGGCCTTGAAGCCCTTTCCTCTGCGACATACGTGTGGATCAGAGTATAGCATTTACATTTTTTTAATTTTGGCCCAAGGGGCGAGTAGATTTGGGATGGGACGGGGAGGAAGGAATGGTGCCCAACCACTTCGAAGGTCGGGGATTGAACGCCGACCTGCATGAAGCGAGACCGTCGCTCTACCGTCTAGTCCAAGTGGTTGGGCGTAGTTAAACCGAATTCAACCTAACGAAAAGAAGAGATAAAGCGACTTTTATACATGGTGTATACGATATGCATGACGTTACTGTCGTCTGTTTTGTTTAAGATTCGCTACCTGGAACAAGTTCCAAGTAGCACGGGCTATGGTGAGCCCGTCTTCTCTGACTCTGTCGTCATAATGCTCACGCCGGAACAGGTTTCAGATCCCAATGGTTGCGGGTGGCGGGGGAGGAGGGTTATGGCTGGCAAGTCTATCCAGATGGCATCCAACTTTCCGGTGTAAAGTTAGGTGCAGGAAGTCGTGTATACACACTAGGCTGTTCGACCACCCCCGCCGGCTGTCGGCGTTGCGTCTCAGATTTACATCACCTAACTGTCGGTCACTCGTCCGGCGCCCGACGCCCGCCACTGCCCCCCGAATGAGAAGGCAGGAGGCATTCCGGGAGTCCCCCTAATATTTAAGGGATGCTGGAGATGGGAAGGGATGCTACCTTACCTTACATTGAGGTGCGTCCGTGGCTTAGTGTCCCCGTGGCCCGGTCGTCGACCAGGCCTCCTGGTTGCTCGACTGATCAACCAGGCTGTTAGACGCGCTGGAGATGGGGGATGCTGAAACAAGGTGGTGACAGTAAGGAGCCGCTGGGGGGGACCAGGAGGACGACGGTGGCGCCCTCTACACATCTAGCTACACAAATAACGACACTGACAAATAGATGTAGATTTAGGTGGGGATTACTTTTGTTTCAATAAGACGTGTGGCGGTTTAGCAATTTCCTGGACTTGATTCACTCTCGTAATTCTCTACCCATCTTTATTTGTCTTCTCCCCCCCCCTAAAAAAAAAAACAGCTCTAGCGAGGTTGCGTATTGGCCATACTCGCTTAACCCATGGTCACTTGATGGAGCGCCGCCCTGCTCCTTATTGTCCTAGTTGCATTGTCCCTCTTACGGTCGTGCATGTCCTTCTTGAATGTCCTGACTTCCAGGACGAGCGTGTGTCTTGCTTTCCGACCGCCCCTCGCGGTCACCTATCCCTCGATAGAATTCTTGGTGACTCGGATACTTTTGATATCGTTCGCCTTATGCGTTTTTGTTCTCGTATTGGCATCCTTGGTGATATTTAGCGCCCTCTGATTATTTTGCGTATTTGATGGTGCTACATAGCCTTCCCGGTTTGGTGCCTTCTTTTGATAATTACTTACTTACTTCTCCCCCCCCTTCTCCCCTCTTCCTCCTCCCCTTCTCTTCCTCCTCCCCTTCTCTTCCTCCTCCTCTTCTCTTCCTCCTCCTCTTCTCTTCCTCCTCCCCTTCTCTTCCTCCTCCTCTTCTCTTCCTCCTCCCCTTCTCTTCCTCCTCCCCTTCTCTTCCTCCTCCCCTTCTCTTCCTTATCCTCCCCCTTCCTTCTCTCCTCCTTACTCAGGCACGTTAGAGAGGAGCGAAGCCAGCAATCATAGGCCCCTGGGTACTCACCTAGTTGTGCTTGCGGGGGTTGAGCTCTGGCTTTTTGGTCCCGCCTCTCAACCGTCAATCAACTGGTGTATAGGTTTCTGAGCCTACTGTGCTCTTATCATATCTACACTTGAAACTGTGTATGGAGTCAGCCTCCACCACATCACTACTTTATGCATTCCATTTGTTAACTACTGACACTGAAAAAGTTCTTTCTAACGTCTCTGTGGCTCTAGGAGGAACAGGGTTTGGTATTGTAGATGGAGCGAGAGGTTATAGGCCTCTCTCGCATCTGTCACCACCTAACCACCTGCATCCTTAAGGGTGTAATTGAGGGTCGTTAAGGGGTGTGTACTGCGTGCTTCTGGAGACCTCCTTCGGGAGGAAGGAGGAGGGTCATCCTGGGAGGAAATGGTGGGAGTTATGAACTTATGAACAAATCCACAAGGACCGTGACGAGGATTCGAACCTGCGTCCGGGAGCATCCTAGACGCTGCCTTAATCGACGGAGCTACGACCGACTTTTGATTTGTTCATTTATGCATCACACTATTGTGATTTCTGTGTTATGAACAAGGGTTGGTGGTGTAAGTGGGGGGGGGGGGGTATGGGTAGGGGGTTGGTGGTGTGAGTGGGGGGGGGTGTGGACAGGGGGTGGTTGTAGTGTCTGTGATGAGCGGTAGTTCTGTCGACCGGCTGGAATTGTAGTCCATTTGTCGAACCATCTGTTACCTGTCAGGCCAGGCGTTGCGGGCAGGGAGGATGGTAGGGGCAGTGGGTAGGGGACGGGACTGGGGGAGTGGAAGGGCAGGGACGGGGAGGATGGGTAGGGCAAGAATTGAGGCTTACGCTTAATTAGGGCAGATCGGGTCATTAGTGCTTATGGGGCGCCATTACTGCTAGGCCACATATTGTTCCCCTACCCCTTCCCTACCCCTCCCCTACCCCTTCCCTACCCCTTCCCTACCCCTTCCCTAGTCCCTTCTCCCAAGCCTGTGGGAGAAGGGGTGAGGACCCCTTCTCCCACATGTCCTCCAGTCTCTCAGTGTTATACAGTCTCCAAGTGTCTCCAGCCCTTTAATCTTCATGTAGTGACACCTTAACCTGGACTTGCAAGCCTCCTTATTTCCCTTCCCCCTGGCTAAGTCTTTCCCTTCCCCCTGGCTAAGTCTTTCCCTTCCCCTGGCTAAGTCTTTCCCTTCCCCCTGGCTAAGTCTTTCCCTTCCCCCTGGCTAAGTCTTTCCCTTCCCCCTGGCTAAGTCTTTCCCTTCCCCCTGGCTAAGTCTTTCCCTTCCCCTGGCTAAGTCTTTCCCTTCCCCCTGGCTAAGTCTTTCCCTTCCCCCTGGCTAAGTCTTTCCCTTCCCCCTGGCTAAGTCTTTCCCTTCCCCCTGGCTAAGTCTTTCCCTTCCCCCTGGCTAAGTCTTTCCCTTCCCCCTGGCTAAGTCTTTCCCTTCCCCCTGGCTAAGTCTTTCCCTTCCCCCTGGCTAAGTCTTTCCCTTCCCCCTGGCTAAGTCTTTCCCTTCCCCCTGGCGAAGTCTTTCCCTTCCCCTGGCGAAGTCTTTCCCTTCCCCCTGGCGAAGTCTTTCCCTTCCCCCTGGCGAAGTCTTTCCCTTCCCCCTGGCGAAGTCTTTCCCTTCCCCCTGGCGAAGTCTTTCCCTTCCCCCTGGCTAAGTCTTTCCCTTCCCCCTGGCTAAGTCTTTCCCTTCCCCCTGGCTAAGTCTTACCCTTCCTCCTGGCTAAGTCTTACCCTTCCTCCTGGCTAAGTCTTACCCCTTCTTCCCTCCTGTGGCACTGTTAGCTGATGGAAAGATGGGGGAAGTGACCTCCCATTTCGAATGGGCTCCCGACGCACATACACTGGAGTTTCAATTGTGGGTTGTGATTCTTCCTAATGTGCTTCGTGATGTGAGGGGTTCCACGCTGGTTCCACGAACTCCTGCAGCCACTCTTTAGTAGTGGTAGTTCTTCCTTCTGAAAATTTAGTTTTGTTTTGTCGTGCGAAAGTAGACAAGTTGGTCGGTATCAGTCGTCGCATGGGCGTGCTTACACGGGCCTGTACTCGCATATTTGTGCCTGCAGGATCGAGCTTTGGCTCTGTGTACCCAGATATGTTTGCAGGGTTTGGCGCTCTCTCATTACCCCTGACTTCCAAATGATCAATCTTTTCTTGCAGTGCCGTCATGGAGTCTTTAAGTTCCGTACTGTATGTGTGTTCATTCATGACTTCGTTCTCAACCACTTGGGCTGGACGGTAGAGCGACGGTCTCGCTACATGCATGTCGGCGTTCAATCCCCGACCGTCCAATTGGTTGGGCACCATTCCTTTCCTCTCGTCCCATCCCAAATCCTTATCCTGACCCCCCTTCCAAGTGCTATATAGTCGTAATGGCTTGGCTCTTACCCAGAGCCCCGCTCCTGTGCCAGGTAAGTTACGAGCTCACCATAGCCCGTGCTACTTGGAACTTGTTCCGAGTAGCTGAATCCATTCCTGCCACTGCCCACATAATGGGTCTCCATGATAAATCAAAGATTGTAACCTCTTGTGAGGTAACATCATAAATGTCAGATCGTTCCATACATTATAAACATAAACAAATCCACAAGGGCCGTGACGAGGATTCGAACCTACGTCCGAGATCATCCCAGATTAATCGACTGAGCTACGACATGGTAAAAAGAGTTGAAATCAGAAGTTTTACTGAACTTCGATCCCACTATTTTCCATATTGGAGTACTGAGGTGAGGTGCTTGTCTCCTGCAGGTGTACGGTGCAGCTGGCGTGCCAGAAGGCGACCTTCTCCTCCCCGCGCTGGTTGAGCTTCGGCTCCGGCCAACAGTGTATCGACTTCGAGATGATATTGCCGGACAGACTACCCATTGACCAGATGGCTACGGTGAGTGTTTCTAAAGTTGTTATTGTTTCTAGGCTCGCCCCCTCTGTTCCTAGGCTCGCCCCCCCCCCCTCTGTTTCTAGCCTCGCCCCCCCCCCCTTCTGTTCCTAGGCTCGTTCAATCCCCGACCGTAAGCGTATACAGAAATGCTTGATGTACTTTTGTTCAAGACTTGACTTTCGAGGACAAAATGTGTCTACAAGTGTGTGTGTGTGTGTGTGTGTGTGTGTGTGTGTGTGTGTGTGTGTAAGTAGTATCTTGGTTCTTATCTCACTTTTTTCAAAGGTTTTTTATAATGTGATGATATAGCCACTGGTGTATAATGTGATGATATAGCCACTGGTGTATAATGTGATGATATAGCCACTGGTGTATAATGTAATGATATAGCCACTGGTGTATATTTGCAACTGGTTGACTACCACCATTGCTGAGTGGCGAGGTCTCTGCTGTTTCAAGTATGTCAGTGATAACACCAGAATCTACCTTATAATGCGATGATTTCGGGGCTCGTCGTCCCCGCGGCCCGGTCCTCGACCAGGCCTCCTTTTTGTTACACATCCCCAGGAAGCAGCTCGTAGCAGCTGTCTAACTCCCAGGTACCTATTTACTGCTAGGTAACAGGGGCATCTGGGTGAAAAGCTTTTTGCCCATTTGTTTCCACCTCCACCGGGGATCGAACCCGGAACCTCAGGGCTACGAATCCGAAGCGCTGTCCACCCAGCTGTCAGGCGCCCCAGCTGTTCAAGGGTTCACTGAAAACAAACTGACTGTTACATACTGTCAGGTAGGGCCTGACAGCTAAGTGTGCAGCGTTCGGGATTCGTAGTCCTGAAGTTTCGGGTTCAGGACTACGGAATCCCGGAACTGAATACGGAGTTCAGGAGACGGAAACAAATGGGCAGAGTTTCTTTCACCACTAATGCGCCTATTCACCTAGCAGTAAATAGGTACCTGGGAGTTAGACAGCTGCTACGGGCTGCTTCCTGGGGATGTGTAACAAAAAGGAGGCCTGGTCGAGGACCGGGCCGTGGGGACACTAAGCCCCATAATTATCTCAAGGTAACCTCTGTATTTCACTCATTTTCTTCTTGTCAACTGGTTAAGTTTCATCACCCTTGCGCAATTCTATCTTGAGATCTTGAGATTACCTTGAGATGATTTCGGGGCTTTAGTGTCCCCGCGGCCCGGTCCTCGACCAGGCCTTCCACCCCCAGGAAGCAGCCCGTGACAGCTGACTAACACCCAGGTACCTATTTTACTGCTAGGTAACAGGGGCATAGGGTGAAAGAAACTCTGCCCATTGTTTCTCGCCGGCGCCCGGGATCGAACCCAGGACCACAGGATCACAAGTCCAGTGTGCTGTCCGCTCGGCCGACCGGCTCCGTGCAGTTTGCTAGATGCAGTTTTTTTAGATTTTGTCATGGTGTGAAGTGGGGGGGGGGGAAAGGGGGGGAACTTCACCCCACTACCCCCAACATGGGGATGACTTTACCACTATATAAGTCTACTGAAAGTGTGTGTGTAGCTGCGGTAGTGTTTCCTGAGGGCCAGACTTAGTTTGGACACGCCCGCTCATCCATCTTTGAGGTGCCTGAATACGGTTAGATAATGTGTGTATTCGTGGCTGTCTGACACGACGCCTTAACCAGCGGTGATTGATGGGGCGCGCGGCCGCTTGAGTGACAGTGGAGAGGGTGGTGGTGGATGGTCGGGCAGTGGGTGGTCGGAGTTGAACGAAGAGGGGGGGGGGGAGGGAAGACTAAGGGGAAACAGAGCTTTATCGTAGTTGCAGAAATGGAAGAATCGGACAAATGGACCGTAAATGGTTCTTGGTGACAGTCACACAGTAGATAAAGATACGATACCTGCTTGATGGGGAAGATACGATACCTGCTTGATGGGGAAGATACGATACCTGCTTGATGGGGAAGATACGATACCTGCTTGATGGGGAAGATACGATACCTGCTTGATGGGGAAGATACGATACCTGCTTGATGGGGAAGATACGATACCTGCTTGATGGGGTTCTGGGGGTAGTTCTACTTGACAGACGGCTGCCTGAATGCCTGCCTGAGAGCTTGGTCCAACAGGCTCTTGCTTGGAGCGGGTCTGTGATGTTTAACATGTGAGAGGTGGAGAGGTTCATAGTAGGTAAATCTAAAACAATTTTTGTTTTCAAGTACGGGCTATTCATGCCCGTGCCACCTCTTGGGTTGCTTAATCTTCATCAATCACTCTTGTACTTACCTAGTTGTACTTGCGGGGGTTGAGCTCTGGCTCTTTGGTTCCACCTCTCAACTGTCAATCAACTGAGGTACAGGTTCACGAACCTATTGGGCTCTTATCATATCTACATTTGAAACTGTGTATGGAGTCAGCCTCCACCACATTTAACGACACCAGGTGTCTCTCCTCTTCCCTGTAACCACTTGGGCTGGACGGTAGAGCAACGGTCTCGCTTCATGCAGGTCGGCGTTCAATCCCCAACCGTCCACAAGTGGTTGGACACCATTCCTTCCCCCCGTCCCATCCCAAATCTTTATCCTGGCCCCCTTCCAAGTGCTATATAGTCGTAATCGCTTGGCGCCTTCTCCTGATAGTTCCCTTTCCTCCTAACGCATCAGCGTACGACATCGCAGACTCGCCCACGGTTGAGATTTAGGACTTACGACCATCCCAGGCGCCAGGGACAGTACCGTGGCGCGCACATCACTTGCCAGACGTGGTATATAGGTTACTCTGGTGGCCACATCAATCTCCCAAGAGTTATTGCCGGTAAAAACTTCCGTGGAATGTGAGCAGGCGTGCGGGGGAGGCATTGTGTTATTTACGAGCCGTCTCCAGCGGGGCGGTGTTGTGGCCGACGATCTCCAACACCAGACACGGGATGCTGGCCTGTCAAGGCCAAGAGTCACGTCTTGCTGGCCTCGTCTGGTTTGTCAAGGCCAAGAGTCACGTCTTGCTGGCCTCGTCTGGTCTGTCAGGGCCAAGAGTCACGTCTTGCTGGCCTGTCAAGGCCAAGAGTCACGTCTTGCTGGCCTCGTCTGGTTTGTCAGGGCCAAGAGTCACGTCTTGCTGGCCTGTCAGGGCCAAGAGTCACGTCTTGCTGGCCTGTCAGGGCCAAGAGTCACGTCTTGCTGGCCTCGTCTGGTTTGTCAAGGCCAAGAGTCACGTCTTGCTGGCCTCGTCTGGTTTGTCAAGGCCAAGAGTCACGTCTTGCTGGCCTCGTCTGGCCTGTCAGGGCCAAGAGTCACGTCTTGCTGGCCTCGTCTGGCCTGTCAGGGCCAAGAGTCACGTCTTGCTGGCCTCGTCTGGCCTGTCAAGGCCAAGAGTCACGTCTTGCTGGCCTCGTCTGGTCTGTCAGGGCCACGTCTTGCTGGCCTCGTCTGTCCCTCAAATATTACTTCCCTCCAACCATTTTTTTTATTAACAATGAGGTACATCTGCATTAGTGCAGCTGCCCTAGACTATATGAAGGAGTACAGTGTCAAAAAAGCTAACTACATGATGCTAAACAATCCCCATCACACAGGATGGTTAGTCATACAGAGGCATGTGATAAGCAGTCTGCACTGGCAGACTCCGGATGCATTTTGAGGATATCATCAACACAAGATTGAATAAGGTAGCAGTGGTAATACAAGTCCCCCATCTCGCAGGATGGTTAGTCATACAGAGCCATGTGTTTAATAGCCTGCACTGGCAAATTTTGGGTATACTGTGAGGATATCTTCAAGAACACGAGAGTGAATAAAGTAATTGCAAAGCTCCAGGTACCTCATGCCAACTGGTCTGAAAGGTCTAATAACTGGGCATTCAGTGATGTAGTGCAGGAGATCATGCCGTAGTTCCTGCTCACAGAGTTTGCAACTGGAGTGCTCAGGATTGGGAGACCCGTCACCTGTAGCCACAGGTAACGGTAACCCAACCTGATCCTTGCAACCACTGTGTCGCACAGTCTAGTGGACGTTTTGTGCTGTCCATAGATACAGGTTTCAGATCTGAACAAATCATAGCTTTTTATACTAGTACTTTCAGGTCGTTGGGAGTCAGTAAGTTCTTTCCTTGCTCACCACCACCACCTCTACTTACACCAAACGCGGCTCTCTCCACCCTTACCACCCCACCTGGTGGAGGCGCAGCTGGGGACCAGGTGAACAGGTGCTAGGGTGGGGGGGAAGGCGAAGACACTAAATCGTATGGAATCCATATCTTACACCCCAGACAAGAGGCGAATTAAGAATTCAAAGAATGTGAAGGGGAAGGGGGGAGGGGGAGAAGATACTTTTTATTAAGGAAAGTGAATGGGAGAAGACAGCAATTAACCAGGAAGGGAGGGCGGTAGGGAGCCAGGGAGATGAAGGGAGATTCTTCCCTACGACCCTTAAAAGTATAATAGTGGAGGGAGAGACGGTGGTTAGGTGTGAGAAGGGGACCGGAGGGGGAGGACCTAGCCATTAAAAAAAAATAGGTGATTAAATATTAGCCCTCCGTCTAAGCAAATGGCTGAAGAAAGCGAGAGGATGGTGCAAGGTGATAGGTTGAACTCCTTAGGGAAGGCGGGGGAGGTGCAGAGGGGCACCAGTCTACTGTCTCCAGCAGCAGTTAATAATAATAAATATGGAGCAGTAACATCAACTTTTACTTCACTATTAACTGAAGGTACAAATCATAACCAATAATCAGTAGCACAAAACTGTTAGCAGCAAACAGAAGCAGCACCACCACTACCACCCCAGTAACAGCACTACCACCCCAGTAACAGCAAGAATAAGTCGTGGAAGCTGCCTCCATGCACAGCTATTGAGGCCAGATTCGATCACAATTGAATGAGAGCCCAACGGGTTAGGCTAGCAGGTGAGGGATAAAGAACTTAATCTTACCACCCTAAAGTCTCTGATAGGTGAGCACCACCAATCACCAGCCGAGAACTAACTCGGCCACAAACCTCTTGTGAAGTTTGACAGTCAGAATAGCGTGATCTCTCCAAGGTAAGA